CGGGGGGCGGGGGGGGGGGGGGGGCGCTAGGGGAGAAGCCCAGCAGCTCCCAGGCTGGCCAAGCCACCTGCACCCTCCCCCCGTGTGATTTCCCAAGGGAAGAAGGAGATTCCCCCCTGCTGGGCCCAGCAAAGCCACTTGCAGCAGAGGGCAGAGCAGCCCTTGTCCCACAGACTGGGTGGGGGGGTCAGCAGCACCTCGCTCAGCTGGGATAGAGCCTGCTGCGCTGGGCGGGGGGGACCACCCTGCCCCCCAAAGCCGTCCTGTGTGGCTGGGGCCAAGGGGGGCAGAACTGGGAGCTGTGCCTGCGTGGGTGTTAGCACCAGCCTGGGAAAGGATCTGAGGGCTGAGTCAAGGCAGACGGAGCAGGGGAGTTACCCCCAGGGGACACTGTGCTTCCATGGGGAGCGGGGTCAGGGCACAACAGCAGCCTCAGCCCAGGACCCAGCAGAGGGAGGCTGCAGCCAGCAGGGGCCTATGTGGGGATGACTTTGGTGGCCAGGAGGATGATGAGGATGAGGATGATGGCCACCACCACGCAGATGATGATGATCATCTTGACGTTCTTCCACCAGTACTTGCGGGCCACCTTCTGCGAGGTCGTCTTGAAGTGCTCGGACTGGGGGGGAGACGGGGGTTAGCCCTCCTGCCAGCGGGGGGGCTGCTCTGCTCAGCCCCTAGACAGCTAGAGGGGTGAGGCTGCCCCTGGGCACGCTCCCTGGGCTGGCAGGGGAGGCCGGTTACACCAGGCCCCGCAGGTGAGTGCTGGGGCACCGGACCCCCCGGCGCGTGCTCGCTGCCAGGGAGGCAGCTCCGGGCCCCTGGCCACTCCAGGGCAGCTGGGCCTGACTCCAGCACAGTGGGTGGAAATCCAGCTCCCCCTGCTTCAGCTAATGAGGGCAGATCAGCAGGCACAGTGATGCTGGGGGGGTCCACATGCAGGCCAACCCAGCGTCACCCGCATGCCCAGCAGGGGGGGCTACGGGCACCCCAGACTGTCCACAGGGGACTTGCATCTCCCTCTGCAGTTGCTGGCCCGGGTAGATGGGCCTGAGCATGGAGAGCCCCAGGCAGGCAGCGCTGGAGCGGTGCAAAGGGCAGCGAGCAGCCTCGCTGGCTGCCTGGGTTTATCAGCGGCTGAGCAAACAGCCCCACCCTGCAGCACCCGCAGGCAGAGACCAGAGGAACCCAAGGGACGCGTCATCCCACCCCTGAGCAGCCCCGTGCCGCCGCACGCCCGGCGGAGCTCCCAGAGCCAGGGCACCACTAACACCCAGTGCCAGGCCAGGCAGCGGCCAGGCCTTCGCCCCAAACCCCCAGCCAGTCTCCAGCCCCCCGTCACTCAAACCCCTGCAATCATCTCCAGACTTGGGGTGCCCCCTGTCCCTTCGGCCTAGCCAGGGACCTCCCACCTGCTGCTCCCCGGTCCCGCCCCGCCTGGGCTCACCGTCGCCTCCAGGTCCTCTGTCTTGTTCCGCAGGTGGTCCAGGTTCTCGCCCCGCGCCAGGATCCGCTCCACGTTCTGGGTCATGATGTTCTTCACCCCCTCCACATCGCTCTGCAGGTTCTTCACCCGGTCGGTCGCCATCCCGCTGGCACCAGAGCCCTCCTGCAGGGAGAGCGCCCCCCAGGGGTCAGCAGGAGAGCGGCTGTGGGAGCAGCCAATGTGGCCCGGCAAAGCAGAGGCCCAAGGTGAATGAGGGGCAGGTCAAGCAGCCAGAGGGCACTGATCTCAGGGCAATGCCCCAGTTCTGCGCCCAACTGCAGCCCTGTCTGGCTGAGGAGCCCAGGATGCTCCCTGCAGTCTTCCATGAGAGAACAGTCACATGGGGAAACTGAGGCAGCTGACAGACCAGCCCAAAGAACCAGGAATAGAACCCAGGAGTCTTGTGTCCCACCACCCCATGCGTACCCCTAACCTGCACACCTCTGGGCACTAGGAATAAGAGAGCCCCCCCGCTCTAACCACTGGACCACAGCACCTCAGCCTGCACAGGGACGGGGGCAGTTGGGGAAGGAGGGTGCCCAGGGCACGGTGGTGGTGCTGCCGGCAGAACAGGACGGGACACGGGGGGGCTCCCCGAGCTGAGCTGCCCCCATGAGCTTGCCCTGTCCCCTCCACTGCTGAACATCAACAGAGCCTCCAGCATCCGCATCTCGTCTCCGCCACCAGCCGGACTCGCCCAGCCGGTCGGACAGCCACAGCGCCCCCCCCTCCCCCCCACAGGGATGCCCTCGTACCTGCTGCTCCCAGCAGGCAAACACTGCCACCCCAGACAGATCCCTCTGAGATCACCCCACAGCCTGAGACACCCTGGGGGGTACCCAGGACAGAGGCCCCCCACCCAGCGGAGCCTGAGCTGCGGCTGGGCAGACCCAGGTGTGTTGGGCTGGGTGGGTCCCAGACACGCTGCCCAGGGCCAGTCAGGCAGCTGGGAGCAGCGTCAGCCCAGTGCCCAGGTTCGCGATGCCCAGCAGGGAGCCCCATGGCCTCTCCAGCAGCCTGCAGAGAGACTCCCCTCTAGGCTGCCCCCTCCCTTTCCAGCCATTCAGGGTAGCTTACTGGGTCCCCAGTCAACCCTAGACTAGATGATCATAATGGTCCCTTCTGACCTTAAAGTCTATGAGTCTATGAGCCCCCAGCCCCAGCCGCATTCAGCCCGGGCCGATCCTCAAAGCCACTCAGGGTCTGGTCCAAGCATGGCCCCGAGGCACCCACATGGCCCCGGCAGACCCCGTCCCTGGGCGGTGAAACCCAGACCGCCAGCAGGAAGCTGAGCACCCCCCATTCCGGTTGTGGGGGCCCTTTGCAGGAGACTTCCTGAATCCCTAGTCCACCTCTGGGGCACCTTGGCAGCCCCTGGGGCACCAGCGTGCCCCTCTTACCCTTCAGCCCCTAGGCCGGCCCCGGTGGCTCAGGACTGGGGCACCCTAGCAGGGATGAACCCCCTTCTCGCCTGACGGGGGTGAATTAGTGACCCCAAATGCAGGGGCTGGAGGTGGAGGACAGAGCGTTACTCTCTTGCCTTCTGCCCATTGGCTTTGGGGCCCCAGGGCTCAGACCCCCCAGCCCTCGGTGCAACTGGCCCCTACAGACTCCCCAAGCCCCCAGACTCTCTCCAGCCCCTTTAAACACCCAGCCTGGCTGTGAAGGGTGCTAGGGCCTCCCTCCACCCCACCCACCAATGCTGCCCCACAATGCCCACTAAGCCAGCTCCCCTGCCCCGCATCCCACCCCAGAACAGCCCCGCAATGGGGGTGCCCCCACCTGCGTCGCCTCAGGCTGCAGAACAGGACCCGGGACCCCGTGCCAGGGACGGTTGGGCTGACCACTTCCCCTTCCTACAGTGGGGCAGGGCGGTCACGGGACCCAGCACCCTAGAGGGGGAGGGGAGCAGGCAGCTCCGACCCCGGGGGCCACAGGGGGCCCTTGGCACGGACACAGGAACCTGTTACTGGAGGGTGGGTCCCTATGGGCCCAGGAAGGAACCTGCCCCCCTTCTGGGGAGAGACCCCAGGGCCCCCCCATCTCCTCACACTGGCGATACCAGCCCCGCCGGCGTCGCTTCCTGCGCCCGGGCTGGTACCCCGCAGCCTGCAGCGCCGAGCACCCTCACCTCGCCCCCAGACCGCGCGGGGCCCGGGGCTCGCTCCCAGCTCTGGGAGGGGAGTGGGGTCTAGCGGTGAGAGCGCGAGGGGGGACGCGGCCCAGAAGCAGCAGCTGGAGCCTCCCACTGCCGCCGCTCC